ATATATCAGTATGGATTTTCACAATATCTACAAAATTTCTACATTTATTCTACGATAAAACTACATATCATTTGAAAAATTAATATGAAAATACAGAATTTCAATGTTTCTACAAATTATCTACAAAATTTCTACAAACTGTTCATAACAGAATTTATCTTTATTTTCATGCATGTTCGTCTGGAACACTAAAGTTACTTGATATGCCAACATCTCCCGTTATAAAGGAATACAACTTATCTACAATTGTAGATAAGTTGCAGGACATTTATATACAACCAGAATTTGATATAAAATGTAACAGCACAAACATGCAACTGTTTTCTACTAAGTTATATACAACGACAATATACTACCACTTAAATAGAATTTTTATACAATGTTGTTCAACTTTCATACAATAGTTAAATGAATAAAAGAAAAATAAATAAACAACATAATACATTTTTTCTACAATTTTTCTACAATTTATGCAATATAATGTATGTCATGTCCTCTTCTTCTTCTTCTTGTTCTTCTTCTTCTTCTTCGAGTTTCAATATGAAATTCAGCCAAAACCAAGTCTAATCTTCACCAAAACCCCTCAAAATTGAAATATAAACTCCAAACCATATTCCCAATTATTTGCAACAACACCCAATCCAAACAAATAATGATTTTTGAAAACCCAAATTCAAATTCAAAGCTTCAAAGCTTTTTAATGGCTGTCAATGGTGGAATTGTTGCTCTCTTTTCCTTTCCTCTTATATTACTGAAATTTGGGATTGAGAGATAGAGAGACGTAGAGAGAATTCTCAATTCCTTGCAACAACATCCAATTCAAACAAACAATGTCTTTTGAAAATCCAAATTCGAATTCAAAGCTTCAAAGCTTTTTAATGGTTGTCAATGGTGGAGGGGTTACAGATTTTCGTTGGTTTTATAAGAGAAAATCGTGGGTGATTGAAGAGGAAATCGTGGGTATTTGGATAGAGAAACTTGGGGGAGTGAGAATATACGGTTGAGTAAAATTGGAAGACTAATTAATATCATTAGAATCCTAAAATGGTACATAAATGGTAATTAGGTATACGAAGGTAATTATATTAAAAGTTAAGCATGAAGGGTAATATAATTTACTATATGGCATAGGATGTAAAAATTCCTTTAAAATTTTTACCAAAATTAATCCCCAAACATAAGCCTCAAAACAATTTTGCAGCGCTTTGCTCATAGGTCATCCCCCGCCCCCCAAACCCCCTACCCCAAACACACCAAAAAAAAAAAAGCCCCTCAAAAAGAAAAGAAAAAAAAAACCTGTAAACCTTGTTGACCTGGGTCACTTTTACACAATCTGTTAACCTTGTTATTCATTCAATTGGTCGATAAGAAAAAATGGGAGTAATATGGACAATTCTGGAGTTACTACTGATCTCAGCCATCTTTCTTGCATTTGGATTAGCTGCTGCGATTGCATTTGAATCATTCAGAAGAAGATTCAATCACACGTATGTTTATGTTTATAATAACCCCCTTTTAACCAGAAAAAAAAACCCTATTTTTGCTTTTAAGTTATTGTTGTATTGAATTCAATTTTGATTTCACCTTGCAGTCACGTCGAAGCTCCTCCCGTCTTTGAAGATCCAAATTCATTGAAACCGGTACTTACAAACCCACCTCAAAAACTTTTTTTTTTCAGAAAAATAAAAAAGAGTATATCTTTATTCAATTGTTTGAATTATTTTTAAAAATAAAGAAAAAAATATTGTATCTTTAGTTTGGTTATTACTACTGGAATGAAATAGGCCCGAATGGAGCGTAATTGTTGCAGTAGGTTCATATAGCAGAGGCGGATCCAAGATTTGAAGTTTGTGGTTTCGCGATGTCTTCGAATGTACTAATCATTTGAGTTAATGGGGTCGGAATTTAGTACTTGTACTTATTTAGTTGAGGTCTTAGCCCAAGCTACTGAATTCGGCTGAACCTGTAGTGGTAGCTCTAATGGTCCCTTTCGTATAGTCAATGAGAACTAGTTTGGAATTGAGACATAGTTGATAGATTTATTGACTAGGTGTAATCTTCACCTAATAAAAAAAAAAGATTTATTGACTAGGTGTATTAAGTGGATGCTGTTACTAATTTGAATTGTGTCAGTTGGTATACAGTTGGAAAGAAGGACAAAAAACGAATTGTGATTTTCCCAAAATGCTTATAGCCTATTTGGTCAAGCTTCTCCAACTTTTTTTCCAAAGTTAGAGTGTTTGGCCAATCTTTTTAGAATAAAAAAAGTGTTTTTCTGGAAAAGTAGAAGCAGTTTCGGAGAAGCAGAAAAAAGTAGCTTCTTCCCAGAAGCACTTTTGAGAAAAGTACACTTAGAAGTACTTTTTAAAAGCTTGGCCAAACACTCTGCTTAGAAGTGCTTTTCAAATTAATTAGCCAAATAAAAACTATTTTTTTTACCAAAAGTACTTTTGAAAAAAGCACTTCTCAAAATAAGCTGAATTTTCCAGCTTGGCCAAACAGGCTATTAGTTGTTGAAATGTAATTAACTGTTGGAAGGTGGATGTGTAACATTTGAGCTGTGAAATATAAAGGAGAACGTTCTAGCGGATTTCTTTTTTTTTTTTTTTTTTTGTGTGGAAATTGTGGGATTTAGAAGCTATCTTTTTTGTTTCCGAGCTTGTGGAATCTCGTGTCCGCGGCAATGAATTGATCTGTCGAATTTGAAGCATCTTTCAGGTGTAAAGTTTGTTGATCTGCAGTCTGATCTGATTAACTGCTTAACTTTGAGTATCAGAGTTGTAATGGTAATATAATTGTAATTAGATATTGCATAGATAGAGATATGACATTGGCGATTAACTAAGAATGACAAGGGTGATTTAAATAGATATGAAATAGAAGTGAAGGGGAATGGTTTGGAAGATCAAGCTTATGTTCCTAAGTAGATGAAGTAGATATAACAAAGTTGATTGACTAGTGTATAAGCACTGTGTTAATTAGGTGTGTGAATTTTCTCTTTTATAAGGAATATTGACTTCCCTATATTGTTGGCCATACCCATTCACTATCCGGTATATTTGGATTGGTTCAACAAATGCTTCAATATTTGAATTTGATTCTTTAGGGCTTTTCATTAGATGGCAAAGTGAAACCATCTTTAGCCGTTGTTCATATTTTCTCCTTCTTAATCTCAGAGCTGTTTACTAGCTTGAAACTGCACGGTGTGAAATGCTGTTTAGGCTTCAGAAGTTGTTGTTGTTTTTATTTTCCGTCTCTGTTAACCTTGTAAGCATATAATTCAGGTTCCTTGTCCTCATATATTCGACCCCGCTGAGAAATACATATCCTTGATCATACCTGCATACAATGAGGAGCACAGGCTTCCTGGAGCCCTTGATGAAACTCTGAAGTAAGTGAACCTGAGCTTCTCTTGTATTTCTTCTGTTACTTTTCACCCCGTGATGTCTGATTCCAGAACCTACAGCTTTGATGCTTTTCTGCTGATAGTTACGACGAGTATAATTCTCCTGCTGTCTTCTGAGTTCTGGACTAATTTATAACTCTCGGAGGCTCAAGTTAATAAGCTGACCGTGTGGTTTATAATTTTAATTGCTCACTACCATGCATTTATGGCTCTTCTAGGTTCTGTTCTAAGAAGTCTATTGATGTATCAATTGAAGTCTAATGATATGATCAGTCTTGACGGGATGATGCTGTGCTTTCTGCACACTGCATATGTTAATGCTGCAAATATTTGTGTTTATAGCTCATTGTGACCGCTACGGCTATGACTTTTACAGCTTTGGTCAGCACGTGAACAAGCTACTTGGTCTTTGTTATCTTGTTGAATAGAAAGTAATCCTCTGGAGTCTGGTCTTAATTTTCTGTCGTTACTGTGGTACAAAGCTGCATTGTCAAAATCATATTTGACCATTTATTTTTGTTAGAAGCTCTGGTTATGGAATAACTGGTCGTGGTCACTTCATTTGTTGATTTTTGTTTGGCGGGCGTGGATTATTTGGAGGTGGTTAAGGACAGGATTTACATTTAATGGCTGTAATATATTGAGCCTGTCACTTCATATACTATGTGGTTGCATGTGTTCAAATGTAAAAGATTATCTATTGAAGTCCATGTATAATATCTGTCAGAAAATTAAAGGGGCTGAACGAGCAAAGTATTCTTTTGTGAAATCTGATAGTATTTTTGCACACCGATGTGTTACATTAATTGAGAACTTCACTTAAATCAAGGCGTTGAGGAGCATAAAAAATTTTGTGTTTGAAATTTGCAGTTATCTTCAACAACGTGCGGCCAAGGACAACACATTTACATATGAGGTATGAGTCAAGATGTAATAAGTTTTCATTTCTTTAGTTTGATTCATCAAAAACTAATACTCCTACTACTGCTCCCGCATTTCTAAGAAAAAAAGAGAATCTCTTAAAGTCCTAAAATCTCTTGAGGAAGCTGACTAGAGAAAGATAAATGTGTCAGCTAAGAATATGCAAGAATACAGCCTGGTTCACATAGACTTTATGATTTTTATTTTTATTTTTCAAGGCTGATCTTTCACGTATAATATCTGATGATTCTGATGAATTTTGGGGTGCTGATATTTATTGTGTGAAACTATCCCTGGTGGTATTGATATTTTCAATCTAGAATAGTTATGTTGCTATTACTTGGGTTTGATACATTTTTCCAATTTCCTTATTTTCCCTGGAGTATATAAGATTCCATTGTTGCAGTTCTTTATATTTAGCTTTTCTAAACAAATTGACAGTGTGTTTCTGATGCCCTTTTTAATTTGGGTGAAGCGCCAAAAAAAAATACACAGCTGGAGACATAATGGTTTAAAAATTGCGCAGGTAGAGAACACAATGATTATAATAAATGATTTAATAATTATAAGTTTCCTTCTAGGAAACTTATAATTAAGGTGGGAGTGGCATTCGTGGAAGCCAAGTTACGGGAATCGAGGCTGCGATGGATTGGGCATGTGAAGAGGAGAGATATAGATGTCCCGGTCAGGAGGTGTGAGAGGTTGACCATGACGGGCTTGAGGAAGGGCAGGGGTAAGCCTAAGAAGTATTGGGAGAGGTGATTAGGCAGCACATGTCGGTGCTTCACCTAACCGAGGACATGACTGGCGATAGGAAGGTGTGGAGGTTGAGGATTAAGGTGGTGGGTTGACAGGTAGTTGCGAGTTTTTCACAGGTTCACCAGTAGTACTAGTAATATTCTTGCTGTGGGTTGAAAGTTACTTCCTTCTAGTTTGTTATTGTATCTGGTACTTTGCAACCACGTCCTTTGTTTTTGTAAATTGCTATTGGGATTGTTGCTCCCTGATTGTTACTATTTGATGCTACTTTTTCTCCCCTTTTACTGGATATTGTTGTTCCCTGATGGCTACTATTTGATGCTACTTTCTCTCCTCTTTGCTTATCGCCTTTCTCCCCCCCTCTTTCCTCCTCTTCTTCTCCCCTATTCTTCCTTTCCACCTTTTCTTGAGCCAAGGGTCCTCTATCGGAAACAACCTCTCTAGCTCTCCAGGTAGGGGTAAGGTCTGTGTACTCACTACCCTCCCCAGACCCCACCCGTGGGATTATACTGGGTATGTTGTTGTTGTTGTTGTTGTTCCTGCTAGGTTGCTACTGTAAACAAATGTTTGTTCATACTGAGAAGTGATATGTGTCAGTGCTGAAACCCAGTTCTGTTGGTATCAAGCATTCAAGTTTTATTGGTCCAATTTACGAGTAGGGAATGCTCTTAGAGACAAGACTATAAAAGTTGAAATACAGATAAATATTCCACCATAAGCACAAGTGCGCAACATTAAATTTATAAAGACACTGCCAAATGCACAAATTTTGGAATTCAGAACATTGAAAACTTTTGGTTTTCCTTTGAGAATCCCCCACTATTTCTGTTGTTTACTTGGGGTAATGTCCTGACATATTTACGCCATTCTATGTTCTTAATGATTGATGCTTGAATAGGTAATTATTATTGATGATGGGAGTTCCGATGGAACAAAAAGAGTGGCTTTTGACTTTGTGAAGAGACACTCTGTAGACAATGTGCGAGTCATCCTTTTGGGGAAGAACCATGGAAAAGGGGAAGCTATAAGAAAAGTGAGTCTAATCTTATCAACTGATAAACTAATTCAACAAGTTCTCTGTGTTTTCTGTTTTTTATGCACTTTTACTCTGTGACAATTGATTAAATCATTTGCTTCTGCGAAAGCATTGTAAAAACAGGGGATGCTTCACTCACGTGGTGAACTGCTTTTAATGCTTGATGCTGATGGCGCAACCAAAGTAGATGACTTGGAAAAGCTTGAAAACCAGGTTTTTGGCCCGCCATTGCTGTTTCCTTGCATCTATAAGTGCATTATTCAAAAAGAAGTTTAGTGGAAAGAGTAGCTAGATTTCTTTGTAGTGTCTAATTGTTTTCCAGCCAGATTCATGCAGTTGCTAAAAAGGGAAACCAGTATGAAGATTCTGCTGGTAAAGATTCAACTATAAGAATATCAGATGTTCCCGCAGCTGCATTTGGTTCACGTGCTCACCTCGAGGAGAAGGCTCTAGCTACAGTTTAGTTTTGACTGCTCTTATTTGTTGTGTATATTTTGAATTGTCCCTCATAGTTCTATGTATATTCGCACCTTCTCATGGTTTGAACTCTGTGCCATGTTACAGAGAAAATGGTACCGTAATTTCTTAATGAAAGGTTTTCATATTGTGGTTCTCTTGGCTGCTGGTGGTGGAGTTCGTGATACTCAGGTAATCTTGTACTCTACAGAGTAGGTCAAACCTCTCATCTAGATTGAGTTCTTGTTTAAAAGCCTCCAACTAAGGTCTTCTAACATTATCTTGATTGAAAATGCTGGATTCATTGCAGTGTGGATTCAAGATGTTTACCAGAGCTGCTGCCAGAAAACTTTTTCTAAATATCCGTTTGAAAAGGTATATTTCTTCAAGTGCCTCCTCTTCCCAATCCCAATGTTTAACAGGAGCTATATTTAGGCAGATTCATTCATTTGTCCTAATGTCTACATAGGATTTTTTAGGAGCATTCTGAGCATTTCAGAAGCTGGTGTATAATTTGCCATGTTACTTCTTGTAGCCTTTTCCTTGGAGTCTGTATTCTTGAAGTGTAACTTTTCCTGGTAGAATCAAGTTCAGCCTAATTTTATTTCAAGGCTTTTGGTTCTAATGAACTTAGACAGAAGTCTGTTTGGTCATTTATTGGCCCCTCTACAAAACCATTGAATGTGGACCCATGCATTTGATCTCCTACGCGTTTATGGGGCTTGTCCGTCTTTTTCAAAAAGTTTTTTTGTCCGCAGATTTTATTTAGTCTCTCAATTTTTGGTCTTTTCTCTTAATTGACTTACCATCCTTTCTGAGAAGAATCTAGAAGGAACATGTGGTAGTTAGAGTGTAGTTGTTGAGAATATGGAAAATCGCGTCAGAGGTCAATTGACTGGGAAATCCAAGTCAATTATCGTCCCTTCCCTTTGTTTCTTGAACGCCCCATGTTTAGATTAATCTGTCAAGCTCGTCAACGGAGCTTGAAACCTTGGACCTTATTCATAAAGAGAGAGCTCCAGTTCTCTCTAATTCTTTGGAAAAAAATCTGCTTCCCTATTCTCAACAGTATTTTTGTTTATGGGCTGTTCAGAATCATCGCAAATAGAACTACTTAGTAATGGATGTGATAATAAGATTTGTATTGGGATCTTTTGAGAAATTCTCCTACTTGATGTCTTCATGGACATGAAGGGGAGCCTTGAAGCAACAGTAAAGTTATCTCTGTGTGACCTATAGGTCACGGGTTCGAGCTGTGGAAGCAACCACTAATCCTTGCGTTAGGGTAGGTTGTCTACATTACACTCCTTGAGGTGCCGCCCTTCCTCGGATCCTGCATGAATGCGGGATGCTTTGTGCACCGGTTTCGCTTGATGTCTTCATGGACATCTTAATGAAGAGAATGCTTTAAGGTCCTGATTTTACATTTCAATGGTTTCCCTATATGCAATGCAACCGGGAAGTTACATTCTTCGAACAGTAGTTGCAAATGGCATATCTCTCTCTTGATCTCACTCTGTACACCTAAGTATTTATCTTGTGATACTGTCTGCTAATCCACGTATATTTGTGCTTGTGTTTATGTTGCTTTCACCATCTATTTTGAATTTTCCTTGCGATCTCTAAGTTTTGTTATCAGGGACTTACTAATGATCTTTTTGCAGGTGGTGCTTTGATGTTGAGCTAGTTTACTTATGCAAATGGTTTCGGATTCCCATGATTGAGATATCTGTTAATTGGACAGAAATACCTGGATCTAAAGTCAATCTCTTAAGCATCCCAAACATGTTGTGGGAGTTGGCAATCATGTCTTTGGGTTATAGAACTGGCATCTGGAAAATCTACAGCTGAGTCCACTTTATTTTCAGGCAACTCTATTTGGAATAGTACTCGACTTGGAGCCTCGTAACACATCTATTGCTTCATAATTTAGAAGTACATGTTTTAGGACATTTAACCTTTTCTTGCACTACATCTTATTATCAGTCGATTGGTAGTAGCTGAGTTTCTTTGAATGAGCATGACTATTGGAGGCTAACCTTTTCCTTTCGCTGGACGTATCCTATTATGAGGATCACCTTAACATAGGCAACTTGTACTTCTATACAGGCAGTGTTTCATGTTTCTGAGTCTCTTCTATGAATCTATATACAGAGCTTTAGTGCAACCCGTCTCTGTTCCTTGGTATTGTTTGAGTATCCTGTTACAGCTCCAACTTGCTTGGGATTGAGTCGTAGTTGTTGTTGATGTTGGGATAATCCGCTTGTGTTATGTAAGCTATAATGGTGAGTACTATACCTATTAAGTACTACTCGACAAATTATTTGACTTTGCAAGGCGCTTTGTATTGTCTAGGTAATTTTTACTCATATCTAAACGATTCCCAAACTGAATAGGATTTTAGACTCTGTACACTTGACTTAGAATGCATATAAATATTGGACTGTTTGTACACTTAGCTTAACGGGATACAGAAACTATTTACATTTGGTAGCCGAAAAAGTGTATAAAATTTGTATGTAACGTACTATATATATATATATATATATATATATATATATATATATATATATATATATATATATATATATATATATATATACGAAAATATACATTTTTCGACTATAATTTTGAGAGCGGCTATACAGTGTCATTTTCCCTAGCTTTAACGGCTAATAGTTGAGATTGGAGGGAATGTATGTAATAATGGAAATACACACACATAAAAAGACAAAGAGCTAATGAAATAGAAAGATGGAACTTCTCCTGTGAAGTTGCATTTTGTACATAGAATTTCTTATCAAATGTCTAACTTTCTAATCCTTCTATTAGTCTAAAAGTTACTTCATTCACTTCTCATTATATATGCAAATCCACGTTATTTGATGTTTGTTACATGCTTGCATCAATAAAAGTAGTAAACTCTTTCCATTTACAGTTCTGTTGATTAATACCAAGAATAGAACAATCCTTCCCCATAGATATAATTTTCTTTTATTGCATGTACTCAAAAGGCAAGATTCAGGTAGCAGGGCTTGATCTAAGATGTAGAGTCAATGGATTTGTAGTTCTAACGACTAACGAGAGTTGAGTAAATGCCACTGCACTAACTTTTATCTTCAAGTAGTAGGTTCGGTTCTCTTAAAATAAATATGTATGATTTTTAATAGATTTTCATATGTATATACAATTTTGGAGACTAAAGCAGTGGGTTTAGAAAACTCACAGCTCATACATTAGGTTCATCCTTACTGGAAGACAACTTTCTATGACAAGAGATAGAGCATGGAAAGTAAAAGTACTAGTTTTGTTTTTCAGGAATGAACTCAGTTTAGAGCCTAATTACCACACGTAATTATAGTTTGCTTAATTACTGTTCGTTGCTAATATATTAATTTTGCTGTATCAAATGCATACAACCAAACTCAGATTTCGTTCGCGCATATGGTTGTATCTATGAATATAATTTTTATGAAAAAGCCGTATCTCATTGGCACATAATGTTGTATCAATGAATACAATTTTGTTAGTATTAACTGTATGCGTTCGCACATACTAAGAAGACAAAAAATCCTAGGGTTTATTTGCTATTGGTCATCATCTTTTTGAACTTGCCAAAGTTATAAACGTAACCGTCATCGTCGGCATCGATGGAGTTGATCTTTTTGCTACAGTCATGAATGGACCAGCTTTAAAATTCAAAATGTTGCTATGTATTATAATTATTTTAAAGTGTACTTATTTATATAATATATAGTGTATAAGTTAGTTGTACCATGTTAAGTTTTTTTTTTTGGAGGGGGTGGGGGCTTCAAGCATTCTGTATCGGAAACTCATTGGTCCAACTAATCTAGATTCGTGCCATGGAATGACCGATTTTTAGAGCTCTCCCTCAAAGAGAATTATATTTCCGGGTGTGATTACGGGGGACGAAACCCATCATTGCTTCAGGCAATGTATTTCCTTGCAAGCTAAGGTTTGGAAGTGCTCTTCACATATGTCATGATACAAACATATGTCATGTTATGGGATCACCATCCATTCTGTGACAGCGAATATATTTTCGACTCTTAACAATGATATTTATGGTTCAAATTTGTGAAACTACATATTCATATTAAATCTACATACCTTTTATATCTATATCTAATATCTATTATCTAGCTATTATTTTATTACTATATTAAAAGCACGAAGGTTCTTAACGAAATGTTGTTCGTCTTTTTTACCTTTTAAAAATAGAGTTAACACTTGACATAATAGTTATTTAATTATTTTTCCTAATATGTAGGAAGCGTCATTTAATTACTTGCTAATAATTAGGAATAGTTATTTAGTTATTTTTCTAATATTTATGAGTTCGAAATCAACTGTATTTTGTGCATTAAATCCTTGTATAACGTTTCAAATAAATTTAAATTCTTTATTCAAACACCTTCTTTATGTAAAATAAATTCATATTCTAATATTAAATACCTTGTATAAATTTCTCCTTATTTATGTAATGTAACATAACAATTTTATCAATCTTTCTATCACGTCGCAAACCGAGATGTTAATTAAAAGACAAATCGCTACCACCTAAGCTCCAAAATCCGAGATGGTTGGAGAAGAATCACTACCACCAATGCTCCAAAATTCAGGTTTTCTCTTTTGAAAATTACCTAAATAATTAATTTTGAAAAACAAATTAATCTAAAACTATAAAATAACTATTGAATTTCTAGAACCGAAGCTAACCAAAAGTAAGAATATTTGAGCTACCTAACGACCAAAAAAAATTTATGGAGTAACTTATATGAAGTTAATTGCCACATAATTGAAGTTAGAAGATAAATTCACTTTTATAGCTTTAAAAAGTAAACTAAACTATTTCCTATAACAAATAATTCTAAGGTAAAAAATACTATTAACATGTAAGAGTTTGTTAATATTTAAAATTTTAAAATTAACTAATTAAATTTTACCATAATTTCGATGGGAAGTGATTTAAGGAGTGTTTGCATTGAAAACTTTTCGATAGATGAGTCTAATCTATCTGTTTATCGACACTATCATAAAAGCAAGAATTCTAAAATGTTGATCAACTTTCACCCTTCATAAGTGGAGTTCATGTTGAATAAAACCATCTATATATATATATATTAAAGCAAGAAAGTTACCATATATAATTGACATTATGGTTAAGCCAAGTGGCAAGCTAATAAATTTCAATAGTATATGGTAACTTTATTCTATATTTGACTATTTTAGTTAAATACATATATATATATATATATATATATATATATATATATATATATATATATATATATATATATATATATAT